TAAGAGAGTTGTCTGGACCGGAGAAGAAGTCTCTTATATCCGGGTTTCTCTTATATCCGGGTTTGGTCTATTTTATATACATTAACACAGGCTCTAATTTGGGACCAGAGAAAATCTCTCTTATATCCGGGTTACACTGTATAATGGCTTAGAATTGGAAATTGAAGAACTGTGTAAACACTATTGGGAAAGATATGAATCCTCCATTTCTCCCCTCCAGCTATGGGTTAATTAGTAGGACTTATATCAGTAAATCATTATTATCTCCAAAAAGTTCTTACAGCCTGAAAATATTTTCTGGCTTTAAATAATCTGCAAAAGGTTGATAAGTCATAAAAAACAATCAATTTCTTACTTTCTACTTTCTGTTCAATGATTTTCTATTGAATTTTACTAAAAAAAGTTGTTCTCCAAGAATATTATTAAAGTGAAGAGTTTGTGATGAGCAGGTTCATGTACAGGCAGAACATCTGATTAGGACTAATTCAAACTAGTATCCTTCTCTTTGTTGTTTTTATCATAATATTTCAGCTAGATGATTGTTAGAAGTCAAAGAAAATGCTGGAGGGGAGAAGGGGTGGATTCAAATCTTTCCCAATAGTGTTTACTCAGTTCTTCAATTTCCAATTCTGAGCCATTATACATTATACCACCTACAGATCCAAGTTTACAGCACCTGGTATTCCTAAGTGGTTACCTATCTAGGTACTAAGCATTGCTTGAATATGTTATAAAAATAACAGTAATAAGGATACTAATCCAAATAACTTTTGGCATGATGTCTCCTCTCAGAATTTTAGACAAGATTTTTCCTCATGCTTGCTGATATGCATAAGCTGACATGTAAAGTTAATTTTACAAAAATTACTCAGTAATTAAAGTAAATGAAAAAATGTTTTAGCAGCAATTTTTTTTTGGTTTAGTTTTCTGTATGTTGGATTGATAAAAAGTTTTCAGTTTAAGAAACTTTCTCAAAAATTTATTATTTTTTGACATTTGGTCAGATTTTTAGCACTTTCATCAGTGACTGAAAAATGAATTTTTTTTTTTTTTTGTTTCATTTTTGCCAAAGATGAAACATTGGAACCATAAAGATTTTATAGTTCCAATAGTCAATGTTTCCTCAAGAGGAATCCATTACAAATGTTAAAACAAATAATTGATTACTAATCTTGCATCAGACTTCTTGTCCTTATCATAAATCATCTGTAACCTTCAATTTCTTCTCCTCATTTCAAGTTTTTCATTTTCTTATTTTCTTCTTTCTTCCTATTCCTCTTTTATCATTTTTCTCTCTCTCTTTGTTTGCATTTATTGCTTATTTTTTTTTACTTATTTCTTTAGTATATTCTCTTATTTTTTCTTTTCTTTGCTTAAATATCTTCTTTATATTTTTCTACCAATGTATTCCCTTTCTCCTTCCTAATATTTATAGCTTCCTTCCTCCTTTATTTATATTTTACCATTTCTTATCTTTTAACATCTATTTGTAGACCAGGTTAAATTTTCTGAAGCTATGTCATTGTTGCCAGATAAATAATTAACATCTTAGTGTGGCAAATAGGCACTCAAAATTGGTGGTAACATTTTCTTTTTATTAATCTCCTCTCTCTCTCTATAAAAGATCATTTTTTTTGTTAATACATTCTTTACATTCCATGGCTTTCAGAAATGAGTGCCTATGCCTACTCATATGGTAACATCAATTTTGAAGACTACTTGTCACTTTCCAATGTTCTTTCATTTTTATTCTTTCTTTTTTCTTTTTTTTATAAAAACCAATATAGCATCTTTATGAATGATCACTTTTGCCTGAACTGTCTTGACAAATATAAGGTAATGGTTTAACACCATAAACAACTGAAATATAAAAAAAGATACATCGTATTTTATAAGCATTAGCCTCTGTCTGTCAAAACTGTTAACAGATTAGCAGCCATGTTAATACCACTACTTGAGCAAGTAAGCAGAGTAGATTGTCCATTGTACAGTTCTATGATGATATACTAGTCATGATAACTAACAACAGGATGAAATACAGGGCGAGTTAAATACATGCCTTTTCCAAAGACATTAGTTCCAAAGTGACATAATTAGTCTCAACTACAATATAAACTTTTGTGGATTCTGTTTTTTGTGCTGATAACTTATTTCAACTGAGTCATCCAACCTTTGCTGCTATTTATTGTTGTGTTGCTGAGACAGGATCTGTGGTACCACAAACTATAGTTTGAGGAAGACCAAGATCTGTTCATATGCCTGAACATGATCACATTCTATAGGTTGTTGGAGATGATCAAGGTATCAGCACATGTCAAGTAGCCCTAGCATGTCATACATTTATTAGTACTGCATGGAGGGTAATTCAAGAGCAGCTCCTGTATTCATATGATTTGCAATGTGTGCAGGTTATTTTGCTCTCTGATCACTCACCATGGAGGAACTTTTGCTGATGGTATATTAAACAAACTGCTGATCCATTTTGTCTCTTTAGTCTTGTTTATGGATGAGGCAACATTTGAAAGAGATGGAATAACAAATTTACACAACCAACAGTTGTGGGTGGATCAGAATTGTTTTGGTGTGAGGAAACCACCCCCAAAATTTGTAAAAGTATTTTTGATATACCCTGTATATATGTGTGTGCATGTGTGCGCACAGGTAGACCACCTAAGATTTTGACAGTCATACTACATTCTTTTAATGAGTAATTGTTTTCAACTGTATTAATGTCATAAATGTGCTAAATTAACCCAGCATTTGAAAGACAAAGATTTCATGAGAATAGATGTTTGTCATTTACTGCAACTATTAAGGCGAGATCATCCTTTTTTCTTGCTGCTCATTTCTGTTGTGCATCTTGGACACTTGCAAGTGTTGGGCACATTTCATATTTAATTACCACCTTACTGATTTTACCCTTCCACAGTTTTCTTTCCTTACCTTCTGCTTCCCAGTTTTCACTGTCTTCTATGTAAATATGTAATGTGTATGTATATATACTACATACTACAAATACTATATGGGAGCCACCAAGGGTGCATGGAAAAAATACTCCTACAATCATAACTTGAGACTGAGCAACAGAAAATACAAAGGTATCATTGCTCTTTCTACCTACTATTGAGGTGCTATTAGCAGTGGAAAAGTAGCATCAATTATCACATGGTAAATACTGGCTAAAGCCAGACCGTATAACTGAATTGGAAAAGGTTGCAATTTGTGCCTAAGTGAAAATTACTAATTCTACAGTGAATATGTGACCAGCTGTTGAATAAGAGAAACAAATTTATGGCCACATGTCAGCATAAGAATATATATTTAATTAAAAACATACATCCAGGGTAGTGAATACCTGCCATCTCTGGATTATATAAGTCGGATTATAGCTATTGGTTTCATATTTTATCCATCTAATGATTGTTTTATTGCATGAAAATTGGGGTAGCAGATTTTTATATTATTGTATTAATATTATACTATATATCTATATATATATATATATATATATATATATATATATATATATATAGGGGATGCTGAAGGTAACATCAATCAGCTAAGTGACGGTTTCATAGATTGACCCATGTCAGGAGGTATCAGCAATTGACTTTATATTTCTTGTTTGTATTTTTCTTTATATAATCCACCTGAGGAAGCCATGACTCCTGATTTTTATGCTCTGTCATTAATCATTTTGACTTGAATGACATCCCATATATTTCTGTGTAAATCTTCATTTTAATATTTGTGCAAATCTAAATTTCTGAAAAGGATTGACAATATATTTTTGAAAAAAGTAAGCATTCAGTATAACAACATGGATGGATGGATGGATGGATGTGTGTATGTATATATATATATATATATATATATATATATATATATATATATATATATATATATATATAAGGGATGTTTGGAAATCAGTGGCATAAATAAATTGGAATTAAAACATGTAAACACCAAAAGTAACAGGGCCTATGCAATACTTCTTGTAACAAACCAGAACAGGTATATTGACTACAACCATATATAATGTCAGAATAATGGTGACTACTACCATAGAACAGGAGCCAGTGATAGAAGTGAGAAGTGTAATAATACTTTTGCATACCAAGGCCCAAAATTCAACAAAATTTCACCATGAATATATTGCTATGTATGGAAAATATGTAATGGCCAGGAAAGTAGTCCTGTGCTGGTCTAGCATGTTTACAGAGGAATGTATGAATATGCTTTGTGTAGTGCGTCCATATTCATCAACAACAGAAAACAACCTTGAGTTCATTCAAGATTTAGTTCATGGTGATCATAGCATAAACTTTGTTATATATCTGTGGAACTTGATCTTCTAAAATCTATGTTCCATCATTGGGATTTTGGAAACTATCATCTCATTTATTCCTACATCCATGTCTCCCTTTTCTTGACAAACCTGACAAGAGTAGATCCAGCAAATATGATTTGAATATTTTTACCATATCAACCCTATATTCTTGAATTGGCCCCTCAAATGTAACTGGGAAGTTGTTCCATATAGGTGAGGCAAAGATGCATGTTCTTGAAAGATGGTATTTAAGTGCATGCATGATGGTGGGGAAAATTGCATCAATCTCAATGGCCATTATATTGAAAAATAGCATAGTATCTCTGGCTGGTAGCATATGCAAAATGTTTTATTTGTAAAGTAATAAACATGTTGGATTATATTTTTTTTTTGCTTGAGTACAAGTATATGATTTGGATTTAAATATTTCTAAGATGTTTATAACATCTGCACTTTCCATTTACTATGTGTTTTGACTTTTACAAAACATTTTGTCAAATATTTGTAAAAATTTGAAATATCAAAGTTAAAAATTCTTTTATTTGATTTTGTGATAATAATAATGACAATTGGGTTGAAAATTTGGTCATCAGGGACACTAGTTTGCTTTTCTAAATTTTGCAACAAAACTGAAAGTACCTTTTCAACTTTTCATTGTTATTTATTTTAGGGATTCGTCTCACACTGCGTGGGAAGGTTCATGTGGAATGGAAGATTATGCGAACTGGGGAACGAAGGACTGTGAAGCAAGATCATTATTACATTGATGACAAAACAGTTGTTTGGGGCAAAGGTATAAGGGACGTCTTTCAATACCAAAAAATTCTGTTTTATTTTTGTTATTTTTTTTCTTTTATTTTGATCTTTTATTTTTAGTATAAAGCTTTTTTCTTTCTTATTTTGTCTTCCTTATATAGATTTTGCTTTTATATTTTCTGGGATTTATTTTCTTTTAAAATTTTCATTTATATTTTTGTTTTTCATTCATTTTTCAATTGTATTTTGTCCCATGTTTCCTCTTTTTGTGTGTGTTTTTCTGTCTCTTCTATGTGTTGTTTATTTGAAAAATATTTATTTCTTAAACAGAATATTAAAAATGTTCATCCAGATTTTCAGAAGTACTTAGAAATCAGCACTTTCGTTTTTAAACAATATTTTAAAGATTAAAAATGAAAAAAATCTTATAAATGATTCCTTATTTATGTCTAAACATTTCATCGAAATCCATGCAATAATTCAGATGAATTTGCATTGGTCTTTTGACAGTAGTTTGAAGAATCTTCCAAAACTAAAAAAGCTGGATAGTCTATGGTAGTTTACAGCCTGAAAACTCTACCATTACCTTTGATTTAATTCAAAGTTATTCACTTCTGTTTCTGAATGGCTTGCAAAGCTGAGTGTTTGTTAAAATGATAAGATATTTTCTTGTAAACAGTATTATTCTTGTCCCAATTATTTTATAAGTTAAATGTTCTGCATACTAAAAAGCTGAAGAAATTAACTTTGGATATTTGTAACAAATTTGTCCTCCTTACCTTTTTTTTTTTCCAAATTTTAATAATAATCTTAAGAATCTGGTCATTCAGTTAAAAAAATTTTCTTTTTTTTATTTGAATATCAGATTTCAAAGTTTAGTTTTATGGCTTCATTTTATTTCTTTCAGACAAAAATGAAGAAGGAAGTGTCCCTATTCTACCTCGTGGCAACCACAGATATCCATTTCAATTTCAACTTCCAGAATCTGCTTTACCTTGTTCTTTTGAAAGCAAAATGGCCACAATTCGATATTATCTTAGAGTCATCATTGATATGCCATATGCTTCGTCTCCTCAAGGGATTAAGTACTTTACTATCATTGGCCCTCATATTGATTGTATGGATGAAAGATATTTGGTAAGGATTGAGGTTTTGCTTTCAATATGGATTCTTTTTTTTCTTCTGACATGTGGTCCACATACAGAATAACAGAAATTCTTCAGAGATTAAATAGCATTACTTAAAAGCAAGTATTATTCACAATGAAGATAAAATTCAATTTTCAAAAAGAGGAACATTAATTAGTTATCCTTTGGCATTGAAATTGTTAAGCACTGTATACCACAATACCATTTTTTTTTTTTTTTTTACTGTATTCATAAAATCTTCAGCACCAATAATTTCTGATGTGTGGTCCACATAGAGAATGACAGAAAATTCTTGAGTATTACTTGAAAGTAAGTATTACTCACAATGAAGATAAAATAAAATTTTCAAAAAGAGGGACATTAATTGAAACTTGCTTATGCCTTAATGTGTTGATATACAAGGTGTGGTGTAGATTTTACAAATATTGTATTAGCAAATAAGGGTTTACTATATTTTCTTAAAAATCAGGTTTTTTTATTTCTTGTCAAGAAAGTGTTCATTCTTCTTATACTAAGACTAAAGCCTCAGATATGTCAGCTCACAATAGTGTGATCAAACTACTTAGCTGTATCTGTTGTATATAGTACACTACTAAATTATATCTATTCGTATCAAACTGGGATGCCAAAAAATTAGTGACAACAATACACTGAATAGTTTCACCCTCTCCAACTTGTAGGAATGGATTCAGCTAGCTGGAATTTTGTGACATAATAAGTAAAGAGGTAGTGTAGCTGCGACAGTCAAGATATGCAAATAGGATTTAACACGGTTTGACTGTGGAATGACTGTTGGGAACAGAAAACTGGAAAAGATATAGCAGGAATGATTATTTTCTAACCATGGCTTAGATGTGGCATAAGGCCGAAAGTATGGGGAACCTAGTGTGGATCAAACTCACTTTTCAGTCATAACTGATCTAGCAAGACAAACTTGCTAACCATTACACTACACCAAGGTGCTCAAAGATAGAGCAGGAATTTTTGAATTCTGAACAGACATCAGTAGCACATAAAAACTAAGGGTTCCCACAGGTGATGTAGGTATGGCACTGTTAGCAAGTGATAAGGATGGTAAGCATCTAATGAAAAGGGAGCATTGTATCTAATTACATCCCAATTCAATGCTGGTGCTGCTCAGCAGATCAATACATTGTATACTGCATTACATGGTATTTCACAGTTGTCAACTGACAATGGTAAACCATTATTGACACTGAAACTTTGGTTATTTTACTTCACCTAGGCTGCTTACAGTCAAATCAAACTAAAAACACCAGTTCTCAATTGATAACCAGAGTTAAGAGCAAGGTTAAATGGGGAACACCAAGTACTGTAAGCAACCCTCTATAATCTGAGAATGACCAGTGCTATTTTACTTGGTCAGAGAAGTCACATTTCCAGTTTTTTTAGACAGATGATTAAGTCTCTGTAGAGGAAACTGTATCCAACCTGTCAGCAGGGGGTTATATAAAATGGTAGTGACTATGTAATGGTATTGTGTGGATTGCTTTGGAGTTCACAAGGACTACTAGTGAAACAGGAGTTTGTCTTGACAGGTGTGATGTACTGGAATCCCTTGATTAGTGTGGCTAATTTGTACATTGGTAACTATAAAAAAATCAGTTACTATGGTTAAGCTGAAGAATGTCTTACTGCACTAATTGAATTTTGGTATATAAATTTTTTTGTGAAATAATCACATGCACATTAATCAAGGGATGCTTGTATACAGATCTTGTTTATGCTTGTCTTGTTTCTAAGTGATAATGATAAGTTCTAGCAAGATAATGCACTTCTACCCCATTGTGTGCAGGTGACATGGAATTGGTTCCATAAAAACTTAACTAACTTCCAGATAGTCCATTGAACCCCAAATTTAACTAGAGTTAGAACCCATTCAACATTTATGGATCAATAAACACAACATGGATATAAAAATGGCTGGATAGATATACCAATGCAACAGATTCTATGCAGGCAAAGAAAAAAATGACATTATTTGATAGCAGTTTGTAATCTTTTGACCCTTGTGTGTGTGTGTGTGTGTGTGTGTGAATATAGTTGGAGAAATGTTAGTTTAGCAGTTTTTATTCATACTCAGAGACAAGAAATAATTTGGTGAGGTGAAAAGTCAGTCAGTGTAACAGAGAAACAAGAGCAACTGACACACAATCAGATCAAAATTAATACTGATAATTGGACTTGGTTCATTAAAGCATTGACCATTTACTTTTGAAAATATACTCACTGATGTCAAAGAAAAAATAAAACAACTTAAGAATCTTAAAAGGGGAAGAAATAACAAAAAAAATAAAGAATAGAATCATTTTTAGAGAGAGAATTAATTAAAGGAAACAGAATGTTTTTCTTGAGAGAGAAAGAGTTCCCATTTTCTTACTAATAAGTAATTTTGTATTAGATAATATTTCTTATATTGGAAAAATAATCATATCTTAAATCATTAAAAGACAACTAAAATAGTTCTAAATTTGATCATATTTAATAGTATTTTTATTTATTTTTGGAAATGAGGAAGAAATAGTAAATAGATATAAATTGTTAAAAAATATATTTCATAATATCAAAAGACTATTATATATAAATTCCTCTATCATAAAAATTAATCTTACAATTTTACAGTAGTTACTGTCATACTTGTAAATCCAGGAGGTATAAAAGTATTGATATATATTATTTAGCATTGTCAATGGAATATTGATCTAATATAAATGCCCTTAGACAGGATCTCAACTATTATTAAAGCTTTTCACTTACAACTTCTGGCAAAAATTATGAAATTAGCACACTTAAATTATGTTCACTAAGGCTTATTTTTATTCAGCAATGCAGATTTAGTTTTCTAAAATCCAACTTAATGCTTGACCCACTTAACATTTTGAACTGCTTAATCTTAAGTTTTTCTGTTTTAACAGAGGAATTGTTGCAAGAAGACATTAGATTTCTCAAGAATTAATGTTTTTTTAGCCTTATCCTAAGTTTATTGGAAGCAGCAACAGATCTTGCAGAAGTAATTATAAACTTCATTTAAGAATCTTTTCAAGTGTGACACTTCTTGAAACAAATTACAAAATTTGTTGATTAATCTATTTTAAAATTCAATTTTATCCCTTTTGTGGTGATCTTCATTTATCATATCGAATGAAGATGTGAAACATTCTGAAAGAAATGAAGAGTAAGAAAAAGTGAATGAAGCTGGTCACAGATCTGACCAAGTTTCAAACAATTCTGCAAAATATGACAAAATAAGATTTGCATCATCGCCAACTTAAATAATCAGTTCAATATGAATAATGACATTACTTATGAGTGAGAAATATATTTGTTTTGTATTAACAATTTCGGCATACATCACTTGTGAATAGTAGGCATTGTAAGTTACCTAAGATCTGGGTAGGCACCTCAGACTCAGTGCTAGTCTGGTTGACCTTTAATGCCAAATAGTGAGTTTGAACTTTATAAAGTACTCAATACTTGTGGCCTTGTACTAAGCTAAATTTGGTAAATAACCTCAGATCTGTGATAGACTAAAAAGGTTAGTTAGTGACTACATTTCAATAAAAAGTTTAAATACAATTTTTATATAATTAATAATTAAGTACGAATTGAATGAAACATCAAGAGGTTCTTCCAGTTCTAAATTATAATTTTATTATCCCAAATTGATTTTGGTTTAAGTAAAATTGTAGCATTTATTCTTTTTGTTTTTTATAAGTTAATTAATTTTTATATGAGAGGTCACCGAGCTCACTATATTATTTCCAAGGGAAATAACTCTAATCATTTTTATAAAAAATCCTTTTTCAATTCATTTCCAAATTGAATTCTGATTATATTAGATTAAGCAACTATTTTTTAATCAAGGCAAAATGAGTGACTAAAATGAATTCTAATTACTCTTTTTGAAAAATAAAATTATTGTGATAACATTGACTTGCATAACAGAACTGACATGCTGTATATCTGAGCATATTTTCTGTTGTCTCTTAAGCTGTTTTTTATTGTATGCTTTTTAAAAAAATTTTTTTTCAATAATTCCCCTTAGACTCCACAAGAAGCAACTGACAAGCGGAATACATGTTGCCTGTGTTGCGGTACTGGGCCACTTGTCCTCAAAGCTACACTTGACAGAAGTGCCTACTGTTGTGGGGAAAACATTCGACTCAAAGCTGAAATACAAAATAATAGTGATGAGAATGTATGGATAGTTTGTCGACTGATGCAGGTAAAAGAAAATATTTTGGTAATGCATACATAAAAATTATTTAATTGTTCCCTATTGCATAATGCTACACAAAATTTCATATGTGTGGAACAACAATATATTTTTATAATGTATATCTTAGGTCAGTGAACACTGTTTTTTGTTTACTCCCAGAACTCACTGTACACTATATATATATATATATATATATACACACACACACACACACACAAAATGAAAGCACAGTAATTTTATTTTTTTCTTTAATAAATAATAATAATTGGTTTTCAAAAATATCAATAGAAACTATATTCATAGATTTTAATTTCAAGGGGAAAATGGTTTGATGATTGGATTTAGCAGTTTAATCTGAAATGTTTAATGAACTTTAGTATTTAAGATTTTTCACCTTTTGAATCCAAAGACCCATCAAATATTCACAATTAAGCATCATAAATCTGAAATATTAAGCATAAATTCTCTCAATAAATAATTGTTACATAAATACAAGCAAAATAGCATTCAAACCAAGTGTATATTTTATTTTTCTGATTTTTAGTTTAGAGTGGATAGAAAAATCCTTAAAAGAAAATAATTTGATTCTGATTATAAAACTTTACATTTTACTGAAGTTCATTGTAAAGGATAAAAACCACTCGAAATAATATCACTGCAGGTAATAAATATTTGATTGACAAACAAAACATTCATTATCTACATGCTTGTTTGTTATACAGAGTTTATTCAAATTGTCTAATGGAAAAATTTTTTCAAGTTTTGTGTATGTTTTTGTTTTTGTTTTCTTTTCTAGTATGTGGTTTTCTTCATCAATAAAGGTGTTTTGGGGTTAAATAAAGATACATCACATAAAGTATTTGAAGTTGAGGGCCCTCCGGTGCTTCCTTACACAAATGCTAGAATAGATGAACTTGTTCAACAACTGCAAGTCCCTGTTATGCCACCAACACTGATAAATGTTTGTCAGAATGTGGAAATATATTACACACTAAAAGTAAGTATTAGATATGTTACAAACCAAATTTTTATTGATAAAATATAAATGCTGACATCTATTCTCTTACGAAAATAAATGAATTTCAAGAAAAATCAAGAGTCACACACGCAAAATATTATATATGTGCATTTATGTTTTTTTCTGTAAAAAGTTATGTAATTTTCCAGAAAGATTTGGTCAAATGTTCTTGTAATAAAATCTTATATCTAAAAGAAAATTTACCTCCAAGATTTTTAGGTTCATATTAAATATATTTTTTTTAATGATCGTTTATAAATTTATCATTTTAATGAAAATAATAATCATTTCTAAACATAATGCAAGTTATCCCCCCTCATCCCGTTTCCCAGGTGATTTTTTGCTATGTTCTCATTAAGAATTCTGACTTTAGTTCTGTCTAGTTATTAGGATAATTTAGTTTAATAAGGTTTCTAACAATAAAATAATATATAATGTGTATGCTTTATAATTAAGTAAATTTAAAATTTCCATATAATTTCTTAAGTTTTATCAAATTTAATTTTAAATTATTTTCATATAGCTTTTCTGTATTTTTACTTCAATTTCAAGAAAATTAACTGGAGAATTTTTTTATTGAACTTTTTTTTCAACTTCTTAAAATTTTTGTATATAAAATCACTAAAAATAGATTAACTTTTTTTTTTTTTTAATCATTTTCTATAATTTTCGGTTTAATTTTTGAAAATTAAAGAATTTTGTTAATTTCAGTAGAAATTCCGATTTTAATTATGAGAGAGAAACCTCTTTTATTTTAATGATATTACTATACAAACTTTAATAATTATTTTTTATATAACTTTTGTCCATAATATACAAAATCAAAGCACATTTTATGCCCTTTAAACTGATCCATGTATTGATGTTGATAATTTAAATGTAGAAATATATTTCACTATAAATATTTGCACCAGTTTGGTTTATATTATTTAGTTGCTTTGACATGTAGCTTTCATATGAGTTAGGCTAAAAATAAAATAATATCATCCCTACTGTATTTCAATTTGACAAGTAATGAAAAGTGGTTACTTTAGCATTGAGCAATTAAAATGAACTCCCACTAACCATATGAAAGGTTAGCCTTCTTTCAAAGATGATGATGATGTGCATGAAGACAGATTAATAAGTTCATAGTCTGATACAGTCATTAACTAAATTTTGATCTGAAATTTTCAATGAATAATGTTTGATGTATATGATTTACGGAGAAGTATTAAGTTAAATCCATTGACAAAGGAAATTGTGTTAAAATATTAAAGTATTAAGCTACCGACTTATTGGCACACCCATATATATATATATATATATATATATATATATATATATATGGTAGGATTGTAAGGGAGTTCTTTCATAAACCAAATGATGATTGATTCAAACAAGTAGTGAGGAAGATAAATTTGTGGGAGGGAAGAATCATGAAGTTACTTGAAAGATAGCAAAAGTATTTTTTTACTAATTGTTCAGCTAACAGAAGGTTCAAGAGCCACTCAAGGTAGAGGGTTAGTGAATGAGGTTATAACATGAGGAGTTAAGGAGTACAGTTTATGAGGATATGTCGGAAAGATAATGGATAACCTTAGACTTGAAGTCTTGTAATAATCAGGAAAGCATCCTCTCAGGAGTCTGTTTCTAAAAGTAGCAGTTCTTAGAAGCTGTCTGAATAGAATTTCCTTCTTACTGAAGGGAATGGGTATGATTCATCCCAATGTACATGGCATTGTGATTCTTAGCTGTGAAGGTCTGAACTGATTTGCTCAATAAAGTTAGTGTCAAGAACTATTTTTAAAATTGTCTTTTATTTTTACTTTTCCATGGCTACTTTTGGGTTTGATAGTTAGAAATGGATTAGAAGAAGGAAAGGTAACGAATAACAGATGCATTGCATCAAATAATTGATGGTTAACAATGGAGGGGAAGTTATCATAATGAAGAATTGTATGTCTAGAAACAATATTCATCAATAAGGAAATAAATAATGAATAGTAAAATTTATCTTGATATATTTGATAAGGTTATGTGACCATACATCCTAAACATTATATATAGATTTATTGCTGGATCTCAACTTATAACTTAGTTCCAATCAAGCCAGAACCTATACTGAAGACAATAAGATTGAGGTACTGCAGTGTCCAAACAAATGACTCAAATTGAAGTTGTGTGAATTTACAGCAGATATTTCTAATGGTAGAATATCAGGAAAAATTCCATTGATGGGAAAAGTAAGGAACCTAATTGTATTGATGCCTGTCAATCTGATGCTGTATTAAAAATTTGTTACCTTAACAGACATTAATGCTTTGTTTTGTCATTTAATCCTTTTATATGCATATATTTGTTACTAGCAGTATGGCTTGGCGTTGCCCGTGCTTGATTCAAAAATCGTACGACTCATTCAGCAATCGCTATCACTTGATTTAAAATATTTTTGCCCTTCCTTGCCTTTAAAGGAGTGCCCTTTGCCGTGCTGATGTTGCTACATGCTTTACTTCATGCCAATCTCACACTGCAAATTTTTCCTAAGCTCTATACTAAACATTAAATCTGTTACGAAAAAAGAACTAAACAAAATGAACACAAAAAAGGACTCGTAACTGGAAAAAGCAAAATGAAAAAAGAATGTTAACAACAAATACTTTTTCACACCCAACCCAGTTCTGCAGAATCAACGTTGAGTTTAAGCAAGCGAATGAGGCAATTGGAGTAAAGTGCCATGCAGATTTAAATTTTTCCCACTTGTGACGAATGCAGGTATCGATTTTTTTTGCATGCTATAGCATGCTAGTTAACATTCGTGTTGACTCTCACGCTGGCCAATAGAATCTTCCTGCCTATTCGTGGCAGCCAGCTATTGGCTCTCACTCTGGCCAGTAGAAAATGGCCGCAAACTACATGAAAACGGTCTTGGCCTTCCCACTAACCTGGAGCATTTGCATGTAAATTTTGGTGCAAATCCGTCGAAAATTGTGGCCGTGCATTCGTTACACACACACACACACACACACACACACACACACATCATGCCTTTTATAGATAGAGATTTAACAAAATGGTAGACAATTAAATTGTTTGACTGGCATTTTTGACAAATTAATATTGATATGTCTAAACCATAGATAAAGTATTTAAAAGAGCAAAAGAAAAAATGCTTTAATCTGTATATGATTTTTAGAGTGCATATAAATTAAATAAGAAAAAAAGAAATAATTTAAGTTTTTAAACCAATATATTTTGTGTTTCTAAAATTATTACATGATGCTATTGTATATAAAATGACTGCATATAAAGTAAATGTTTTGTCTTTCAGGTATTTCTTCGCATGGAGAAGACAGGAGATGTTCTTCACATTGATTTCCCAATTACAGTTGGAACAATTCCTTTTCGAATTCCTAACAGTCCTTCCCCTGAGGTTAAGTATGGTAAGGAATATTTTATAATGTTAATGTCTTTCAGTTATTAGTCTTCAACACTAGCTATTGAAGCAGATTTGAAAGTGGCTATCGATGAAAATATTTGCATGATCCGCAATAACTTGGAGCCTAAAATGCAATATTTTCTTTTTCAAATTTTGATACCATTGTAGTTTATAATATTACTTAACTATAGTAGTTATAAAATATATAATATTGTCTGCTGTGAGTTAAAATAAATGTAAAACTAGAAGAACGTTAGTATAGGTTATAATACAGAACAAATACACATGTTATGTACAAATATGGATGTCTTTTCAGGAATCTTTCGCCTAATGGTAAAGGGGAATAACTAGGTATCTCTTTGTGATACAGTATAGTATCAGATAGGGGTAGGAATGATCTAAGGAGAGGTGATAATTTAATTGAAAGTGACTATCGATGAAAATGTTTACATGATCCACAATAACTTGGAGCCTAAAATGCAACATTTTCTTTTTCAAATTTTGACATGATTGTAGATTATATTACTTAACTATAGTGTTTATAAAATATATTTTATTGTTGTCTTGTCCATTTTCATAAAATGTAATGAAAGTACAGGTGTCGCAATTTTAGAGGCAGTGTGGGTTTTTATTTCCTATTTTTATTAATGTTTGTGACAAGAGAAAGCACAATTGTTATTTTTCAATTAATGTATAAGCTTGAATCAATTTTGTACTTATTGACTAAACGGAGTTTAATTTAGCATAAAACCAAATGGAAGAAGAGGAAAATTTTTTGTGATTATGTTTTTAAATACATTTAAGCTTTGAAAATCAACATTCAAACCCTGGCTTTTACAAGGTTTGAATTACTAATCCTTGTGGAGAAATACTCTCATGTACATCAAGCAGGTATTTACTAAACTTAGTACAAATTTACCCACTAAGACATTTTGTCAAAAGCATGTCCATATAATGTAATTTCAAATTATTATAGTTTTTTTCATATCTTCATTAAATCACTGTAAGTGTGTTGTGTATAACATAAAATAACTTCTCAGATCAATAGCTGCAAGCAAATTTCAGAGGTCAAATCTTATTTACCCTCAGAGACAACATTTTAAGTGATTTAATAACATTTGAAATCTTTACCTAATAATTTTTATAATTGTAATATAATTGAAATTCAAGGATTTTTACTCGATTTGTATATGAAAAAATTTGGTTGGTAGGAAAGAACTGACAGATTTTATAAACTCGTTTTTTTTTTTTTCAGTTACACAGTTGAGGTGCAGGAGATTTCAAGTTTATGGCAAAAGCCATAAATTGCTTTAATGATTTTCCATAAACTGAGTCTATGATACTTCAAATCTTTGCCTCATTTCTCAGATATTTTTTAACCTTTCTCTCATTTTGAGCACTTTGATATTTTTAACAATACTAATATGGCTGAAATGCAGAATTGTATTTTTTTTTTTTTTTGATTGAAATTAAAATCTAGTCATATAGGCTCTTTAAATAAGAATTAAAGAATAAAATGCTTACAATTAAAATTAATGAAAATTGCACCATATTATTTTTAAAATGTATCATTTTTCTTTGTTTTCTTTTTCAGAGAATGCAGTTACTCATGTGGAAGGTGGTATTTATATCAGTTCTGAGTTTCAATTTGGTGGTGTTTACATGGGAGATGAAGATGAGACTCCAGAAGAAATTATTCTCTACCGACCTGTGTATGTTTGCATTCCCCATGTCAAGATAACTTATTCTCATTCTGGTTTTTTGCAAGATGACAAAGCAAAAGAGAAGAAGAAATCATTGGACAATGAGAAACCAGCAAGTGTTATTGAGGAGAAAGACATCCCAAGTTTTTTGGAAAAAAGTGTGATGCAGGCAACCACAGACAAAAAAGCTACGCTGATTGACAAGGTGGCACGGGTTAACATAGAGTCAGAATCATGTGAAGAGAAGTCTAAGAAGGAAAGTGGGGGCAAATCAGAAAGGATGGCGGCAGTAGCTATGGTTGCAGCTACACTTGAAACAGTAAAACAGATCAAAGTTGATATGTCAGGAAATGAGAAAAAAATTGCAGCAGGAAAGCAGCAAGCAGAAAAAGGAAAGAGTGATGCAGTTGGAGGGTTTTCAAATGACATTCAACTGATATCTATAGAAACAGAAGGAAAATCTAAGGGTCAATCGTATGAGGAGAAAGAGAAATCAGATGTAAAAGCGACCAAAGAGGAAGATGAGAAGGAAGTCACAGACAGTGATGTTACCTTGGTCATTGATACAAATAAATGTACTGAAGCTACTACTACATAGACTTTAAATTTGCTAACCACAAGAAGAGTTGGAGCAACAACAATAACTGTTTAGTCAGTTAATTGAATTTCTGAGGATAAGCTCTAGCCATCTTGTGACAATTGAATCTGTAATACATATTTTTAAATATGTGAATTTATCCTCATAAAGACATATAAACTCAGCTATATGTGTGTGTATACATATACATCCATTACATAAATACAAACATATACACAGGTAAATAAACATATATACATATGCTTGACTGTATATGTATATAATATATATGTCTGATATGACCATTGTTTTGTGTGTTTAAGCCAGCTTGTAACTCATTAATCATATATAATAATAATAATGATCACACCTCAGTTTTCAAATCAGTCTCAGAACTATATAGAATTTTTTATGCAGCATATTGTTTCAAAAAAATAATTTTTCTGTCCATCTTAATCTCATATTTTTTTTTTTTTTAGTTTGTTGAAGTTGATCATTCAAAATTCTCAGCTATTTTATTAAATCATGATAATTACCTCTTCGTCCTCAACCATAAAAAGCAAACAGAAGATGAGAAAGTTTTAAAATATCAGAACTTAGCACTTAAATAACATTATTCTTTAAAACACATCTGTGTGTATAAAGACAAAAAAACCCCACAAAAACAAAGCATCTAATACTTGTTTCATTGATAAAAACATAACCATTGGGAAATAGTTCTATAGACAAAACATGGAATGAAGTATACTGAAAAGTCTATGGTTCAATCCCTGATGCAAAGTAAGTTTCTATGAAATATTTTTTTCTCCTCAACAAAAACAGTCAATGGTTATAAAAAGCTTTTTAAAGAAATATCTATGAATGAATAGCTCTGATAATGGTGCACCCTAATAAAAATGGATTTTTAAAAAAAATGTGCAATTCATTATTGGAGTTTAACTGTTACAAAAAAAAAAAAAAAAAAAAACTATCTTACTGAAGAAAGAGAACACACACCCCAAATTAATTTGCTCCCTAACTCCTCTCCTGTGCAGTATTGAAGATTTCTCATTCAAGGTGAAGTAACTGACATTTAAGGACTTGTTCACCTAAAGATTTCATTAAAAAGAATTTCTTAATGTATAAGGAACTTTTCTTTTCATATATGTACATGAGTGTGTATATAAAACACACACAAGTGAGTACTGAATTTGACCAAGAAAAAAAATTCTGAATTCAGATTTTGGACTGAATTTCTGTCTGCACTCCATATAATTAAACAACCCATCTTATTTTTGACCAAAAGAGAGACAGAAAGAGAAAAAAAATGATTCACTTATGCAAATAATATACAATTGAGTGCAGAGCTTTTGTATTACTTCCAACTTCTCTTTTCATTGTCTATTAAAGATGGTTTCATGATTCTTCAAGAATAAAGCTGGTTTCTTTCATCTGCAATCAATTACCTAATTTCAAGTATATTTGTTGTCGATTCTTTTCATTAACAAATCATGGAAAAGACAGACAAAAATAGAATCATTTGTATTCTCAAAATATTTTTCCTTCATATCTTAATGACTGTGTGGTTGTGGCAAAGAACTGACACCATTTATTCTATCAATTACTTTTACCAATTTTAAAACTAAAATATTAATATCCCTCAGGTAATTCGATTATTGCTCTGACATTTTTCCATTCATTTTTTTTTTTTGTAAATAGTTGAGAAATTTTAAACTTCCTGTTGTTGGAACTTATTTGGTATTAAAAAAAAATCTAAATGAAAGAAATTGTTTCCGTGTTTGTATTATATCAAAAAACATTTGTACTTCACACTTTAATGCCATACTTATTTATTATTATTATTATCAGTTCTTTTTATTGATGTTAAAGATTGGCATGGCATGAAACCACAACTGTATCACACTTTCTGAGGACAGAAACCACTGTTGTAGTAACAGTCAAATAGACTAGTTTGCCCCCAAGTAAAGGATACCATCATCTGTTTCTCATTTCATCTAGATTTTTTAAATGACATTTGTTTATTTCTAATATTAAAAACAAATCCATATAGCAATTCATAATGCAGAAGTAATATTTTTTAATGTAATGTAATAATTTCCACCAATAGTTTTACAAAAATGTCTGGAAAGGTAAAATATTTGAAGTTACAACCACCACAAAGTTTAATTAAAAAAAAAAATTGCGTGAAAAATGTACTATTCAGATTCTTTGTCTATAAAAAGAAAAGATGTTTATGTATACTTTTTAAGAAAAAAAAAAAAAAATAATCAAGTCATTTTGCAGCTGTATTAGTTCTTTTCTACATGAGTAATCTAAGAATTCCTTTTTTTTGTTTATACATTAAGTCTTGTTGCAGGTAAGAATTTTACTTTTTAATTCAGAGCAAAGGCTTACGAAATACAAAGCAAAATATAAGCAACCTAATCTCTATTTATGTGATAATTGCATTTGCTGTGGGTAAGTCAGTTCAGAGTAATGTCTCTTATTAATGATGGCTACATGGCCAATAAATATATAGTCACATTGTGATTATTTACTCTCAAATATAAAGGTTAAAACGTTTCTTCTGACATCATTGATGAAGAGGTCATGTTTTTGAAGAACCTGTTAATTGAACTCTACAATTATGGCTCCACTGTGATGTTTTTGAACTTGAAAGATTCAGTCAGAAGCCAATTGCATCTAGATTTAAGTATTTATAGGTTGTCTGCTACTTTATCTTAAAGAATGAAAAAAAATTTATAAGAGTTCAGCCAAAATGTTCCAAAATTATGTTATGGGTGGCTACCCATTAAGATTAAGAATCATTTATTTGTCCCATAATAGTAGAAAAAAACTTAAGATAATTTTGCCAGCTATGTGCAGTATGTTTAATTCCCGTTTTAGTAATATAATATTATGGGTGTAGTAAATGTTAGTAGTAACAATATTCTCAATGTAGGCATGTCTGCTTTTGGAAAGCATAACACTGCCAGCGTAGTCCATCTTCCTCTAGTTTTGGGTCTGTGGAAGTTGGTTTAAATGGCCTTGGGGCAAACAAAACTAGAGAACAACTTTTGGAACAGACAACCAACTCTTGCTTGTAGAAACAAAGAATTTATTTGTCAAGGATCACAGCTACCAGTTTCAATTCTACTTAACAATGCCTAGGACTGATGACTAGTAATACTTTGATAATAAAGTCAGGAAACTGGTATGTAGACAAAGTTGGTCTACAAACTGATAACCAGATTACAACTGCTGCTTCAAGAGCCATAACTCAGCCTGCATTCAATGAGCTATAGCAGCTGGGCAAGGCTTAGGTGGTTTTCTTATCAAAAACCCGATTTATCATTTTCCAAGCTTCTCCAAATTTAGCTTGTTCTTCTCTCCTTCAGGTTCCCATATACCTAATAGCTGGAAAACCATCACTCTAAGATTGGGTTCATATTGACTATACTACCAACAAAATTTCCTCAACAAATTAACATTAATTGATCAAACTATAATTTTCCTGACATTCAATTTTCTGTCCACCCATATAAATTTCCCAATCTCCACCTATTTCTCTAAGAATTATCAGCTGCCCATACCATAGATGGAAGAAATAAATTTTTCTTCCATCTATAACATCTTCCCTGGCATATACATGCAAGATAAATTTTTACTGAAAATGCCTTTTTCAGACATGAACAATAAACACATCCAAAATAATGTTCAAAAATCAGCTACAGATGTGTTTATACATTAATCTTGATTCTTTTTATGCCCTTCTGAGCTTGAAAGGAGTTTAATTGTCAACTTATACGTTTGCTTGGGTACTACAAGGTCCCTCAGTTTCTTAGCCACTATATTTAAAACAAAATTGTTGGAAAATTAAAGTTTCCCAAAAATAATTAGTCACATCAGGCTGACACATTTGATTGGGATAAGTAAATATATAACTGAAGGATTTATACATTATATTACAAACATTTAAATTCATATATTTTCATAAATCATTGTTTTAAAAACTCCTTCAGTGATTGACATTAAATTGTTTAATTTAGCTGATGTTGATGTTTATCCTAAACATCAACCAAACATAAAATAAAAGCTAAATCATCAAATATAAGTACTTGATTTAAAATCAGTTAAGCCAAAGTAACAAGTGGTACAAAAAAAAAAAATCAACTGCAAGACTTCAGATTCAAATGATGTCATTTTGCTGATCAGCTATTGAGGTTATTACTGGCTTAATTACACCCAAAGGAGTGCTGAAGAGCTCTCAGCCCAGCACACTTCCCTAAATGACCAAAAAGAATTGTTAAATCTTAGGTTAGGCTGGTAACTTTTCAGCACAATGCCATATAACAGATTAATGTTGCTCAAACAGGCCTGTGCAATAGGGGCTGTCATTGATGTGTGAAATATTTCAAATATTAATTTTGTTGTAGCATTGCATAGTTTTAGTTTTCATAAGCTTTTTGGCATGTTAAAAACTATCAAGATACTAAACTTTATCTGTAGTATTTCCATATGTTGTTTAATGGCCAGTCAGTTTGAGATTGAGGTGGTATCTTTTTGTCTGGAATATTTTTTTTTTTGTTTATATAAAAATAAAGTTCATTCAATAAATTTGTTGGATTATTTAAGATGGCTTCCATAAAATTGGTATCTTCATTTTAGCACAGATGGGAAGAAGGAAGTTAAATATACATTGTCTTACCGAAAGATGTGCTATAAGAGTGATATATCTTAGTTAATGCAGTTGGTCACAATACATTTTTTTCTTAAAATAATGGTATATTAAGCATAGTTGTTGCAGACAAAAATATGAGAACGTAAATTTTGAAAAAAGAAATTCTCTTCAAGTGTTTCTTTGGAGAGAAGAAAAAAAATATATAAAGAATTAGGTGTAAATTATTTTAACAATAAGTATTTTAAGTTTAGCTTATTTATACCATTTACATTGTTTGGACTGTTGTTGTCATATTCACAACATTTTGTCCGTTTTTCAGGTGATTGGAATTTTGTACACTAGGGTAGATTGTTCTAGTGTC